GCTGTAGCACCGCGCCCGCGGTCCTTGTGACCGTCCCTAGGTCTTCCGTCGTCACCCCGACCTGCACGCCGCCGCTGCGTCGCCCCTTCGGGCCGTAGCACCGCGGCCCGCGGTCCACCGCCGTCCCCGCGCGTCGACTTCCTGTGGCATGCGCCGCACCACCTCCTTTGGCGCGGGAACGCCACCGTCCGCGCCGGTCTTGGTCACGATGTCGGGTTCTTCGCCTACTTCGAGCACCGTCGCCGCGCTCCTAACCTAGCCGCCGCCGCCGCCGTCAGGCCGTCGCCGCCGCTCTTCTTTTGTAGCCGCCGCCACTACCCCCGTAGCCGCCGCAGCCGCCCGTCCACCTCCTTTGTCTTCGTCCAGCACAAGCCCGTCGCCAGCGTCGTCGTCATCTACCCCGACCGCTTCATCTACTCCGATAACCGCGGGCGACATTGGCCCTGTGCCGATTGGCGCCGCAACCGTTGTCGAGTCCTTCTCTGCTGGCCTCTCCGACTTTTTCGACATGGCGTACAGCTCGTGCAGGTCTCTGTCTACGCATGCCCGGTGCTGGCAACACCGCCGCGTGCCTTCGTCCACGACGTGTCCCCGGGCCCGGCAAGCCTGGTGCGGTGCTTCGTCAACTTCGTCTTCGTCCGTCTACGCATGCCCGGTGCTGGCAACACCGACGCGTGCCTTCGTCTACGATGTGTCCCCGGGATTGGCAACCCCGGCGCGACGCGTCGTCAACATCATCTACTTCCTGGCGCATCACTACTTCGACACCACTGCGCCCATGACTAACTCGGCGCCTCCTTGCGCCCGCGGCTCCACGACGACTTTCTCGACACCGGCTACCCCGACTCGACATCGACCACGACATTCTTCGCACGGCTACCTCGACCACGGCTCCACCACCCACGCTCTCGGCTACCTCGACAAACGGCACAAAGGGCTATCGCCTTGCTTGAGCAACCTCGTCGGTTGCCACTCCAGTCACGACTCCGCGATGCGTCGACTGTTACGACTGTGTGTGTGTGTGGGGGGGGGGGGTCCGTCGGCTTGCCTTCGGATTCTTCTCCAGTCTCACTGTCTGTGTCGCTACCGTTGTCACTGCGGGGGGATGTTGAGTATAATGTTTATTAGGAAAGACGAGATAGACTAGGATTTGTTCTGGCTTGTCTTGTACTTCAAGTAGATCATTGTACTCCTATATATATGCCCACGAGGCTCAAGCAATACAACGAATAATTCCACCAAATCCCTCTCTCCCTTTCTAACAGTTTGGAGGAGATACACATTCGTCGTCCCAGCCACCCCGCCGCCGCATCCTCGCCAACGTGTTTTGTGTCGCGTCCTTTTCCGCCGCCGGCCTTCTCATCGGAAACACATCATATGATGACAGGAAATCGCCGCACACGGGGCCACCTGACCATGGAAGCAACAACCAAAAGAGGGACAACCAGAAATCATCGGGGCCACTTGACCATGGAAGCAACAAAGAGAAGAAAGTCCAGAAGAGGGACTCCACCAATGCTCTTCTCAGTTCTCACTGTCAATCAACTGTACAAAGACATTTTTAGTCTCTGTGGAGTAAGATCATAGTGGAGCTGGTGTGTGGCTCCATGTAACTGTTATGTTTGTAGCGTCATTGTACAAAGACCCTTTTTATGTGGCTAGAGCATAACATTCTCTCTACAAAAATCTCAGTATAGTACATTTCGCTTTGTAATTTTGTTATTCCACTACATTTCATGTGGTTCCATAGCGTAGCACGGGTATCTTACAAGTGTGCTCTAATAACTTAGCTCGATCATGTATAAATAATGAATAAGGCCTTGTTTGTTTGGGCTTTTGCTTTTGCTTTTGCAGCTTCTCCACTTTGGCTAAAAAGCCATAAAAGCTCCTAAATAGGTGCTTTTAAAGCTTTTTGGGCTTTTGATGAATCAATATAACCTATTTGAGCTCCAAAAGCCATAAAAGCTCCAAAAGCACATATTTAGGAGCTTTTATAGGTTTTTGGCCAAAGTGAAAAAGCTGCAAAAGCAGAAGCAAAAACCCAAACAAACAGGGCCTAAAAGTGCTTCATATCAAAACCACTTTGTTATGATACTTTGAGAATGATTGGTAAGATACGCAAAAGAAAGCAATAATGAACCCCTTAAGGAAGCCTTCCTCGTATCTATTGGACTCGGGGGCGGCATCATTATTTTTGAACCTGGGGGTTGCATCAAGGTAATACCTGGGGTCGTATCAAGGTAAACTGACCTCCATCCTGCAAAACACGATCAACGGTCTCAAGCCCTAACCAAGTAATCGGTTAACCCTTTCTTTTTTGCATCGCGATATAGGGTCTTAACAGTGCTGAGAATACTACCCTTAGCCCGTGGCTACGTTCAGGCAACAAGCCGGAAGAAGCATGTCGGGCCACACAAAAAAGGCCCCCTATTCACAAATACCACAGCAACGACAAAGCTGACTTTGTAGAACAAGGGCATCCTGAAGGCAAGTAAAATATTTCGCAAGATCCAAACACGGAAGGAAAATTGTAATTAAACCATACGAGACAAAATGTACAAGGTTTTTCTTACAAGCTCATACCGAACCCTAATCTTCTTTGTGCGCCTTCTCGACAATCTCTTACAGGTCATAGCCCCCAGCGGCGAACTGAGCGTTCTCACTGACCTCTTCGAAGAAGGAATCAAAATTTTGCCCCCCCCCC